TTTTGCAAAATTCGCGCAAGGTCTTGGTTGCGGTCGTCTCTGCCATATGGAAAGTTTCGTCAATGGAATCAGCAGAGCATGCGTAAGCCAACATTCGCGTAGCAACTGTAACCTTTTGGAGTGATGAGAATCCTAATTTGTGGGACCTATCAAGTTTTCTTTGAAAATATGGATTCAAGCGCTCGCAATCCTCAACCAAACGTAATAGTAAATGACGCTTCATTCGGAACCGGCGTCTGACATCATCTGCATAAAAATCAGGGTTGTCAACGACGTAATGATTCATGAGTTGTTCGTGTTTACCTTTTCGGTCGCGAGGTTTATATTTGCGTCCAGGAACAGAGCCACCGTGTACAACCTCTTGATTAACGGCTGCTTCATATGTAGACGAGCAAGTATATCTGTTTCGTTGTCTTCTTCAAGTATTTGCTCATTATACGCAACACAATCGAATTGATTAGAACTCGAACCATAATTCATTATTGAAATATTTTGCTCGTAAAATGATTAAATGTATATATTGATGATGAAATATTTTATTGATTGAAACCATTTAAATAAGGAAGACAAGACTGTAAAAAAAATTATCTGTAGACGTAATATAGACATAATATGGAGAACAAATCGCTAGGTGACACATCATATTAATTATCATGTCTCTTTTTTCCTTTTTTTTTTTTTTGTTCAAAATTATTTTCTCCCACCACATATTTTGTCTCCCAGATTGCAGATAACATCTTAATTGAGAGATGGTGTTGATAACGACTATACAAATTTGATAGTGACTATACAAACTTTTGAATTGAAATTTTACTTTTTTCTTTTGCAGATTTTACTTTTGTCTTTTCGGATTTACTCTGACCTTTCATATTTTACTTGTGCCCTTTCAAATTAACTTTTACCCTTTCGAAATTACCCTAACCTTTCATATTTTACTTGTATCCTTTCAATTTTTACTTTGCCCTTTCAAAATTTTACATTGTCTTCTACACTTCTTTACACACAATGATTTCTCTATATAATGAGAAGGGATATGTTAGACAATAATACACATCTTCACATCTACACTTATTTGAGAAAGACATCTATTTTTTATATGGCTCCCACTAAAGGTTGCTTAGAAGATGAAGATGTAGCTCTTACGAAAGCCTACATTGCGGTCTCGGATGATCCAATTCACGGGATTAACCAAACTGAAGGAGGTATGTGGAAGCAAGGTATGTCTACCATGAAACAAATTCTTGATGAGGAGGGAATTACATATAATATTAGAACAAAAAATGCCGTACTTAGTCGGTGGAGAAAACAAATTTATAAGTATTTGAGCTACTGGTATTCGGCAACTACATTAAGCATCAAGAGTTTGCGGTAGCGGAGGAAACCTGGTCGATGAGATAAATGTTATGATAATGTAGTATTTTGTATTATTTATATATTTGCATGAAGTATATTAATTTTTAATTTGTATTTGTAGTATACTCTGACATTGACTATCTATCGAAGAAATACTAAAAAAACTTTCAACTTGCAACGTTGTTGGGAAGTTGGTATGAATTGGATGAAGTTAAATGCGCAAGAAGATATGCTGGATGAAATTGAAATGGAGTCATTTCATTCGGAGTCCGCACTTCCTTCATCTCAACCAATGAATTCCCCACCAAGTTATTCTCCACCACCGTATATTTTACGGGATGAACTACCATCAGTGGATTCACATACTGACCAACGTAGTAAGAGACTTATCGGATCGAAAAAAGCCCATAAAGGCAAAGAAAAGGCGTCGCCTAGTTCTAATGCGGAATCTAATTATAGTAATCAAGTACAAATACTAGAGGCCGGACGAAAGTTTAGGCATGATCAAAACATTGCAATCCAACAAATGCAAGAAGAACATAGAGTTATGGCAATGGATACAAGTGATTGCACTCCAGGTACAAAAGCATATTGGAAGTCGAAAAGAAAAGAGATACAAAGGAAACAAATCGTAAAAAACTTATTTGAAAGTTCTTCGGCCCATTTAGACGACGACGGATTTAATCCGTTTGATTAATCTCCCTTCTTCGATTTATATGGGTACTTTTTTCCTTATGTCGGCCCACAAGGTTTTTGACGAGGCCCATTCGTTATTTCATAAATATAAATCGAATAACAACTTTTTGGCCCCAAAAAAAAAAAAAAACAAAAAAAAAAAAAAGAAAAACCAAAAACAATTCCTTATTCAATTAATTATTATTTTTTGTTTGTAGTAATCGGTATTATCCTAGTTGTTTTCGGATTCTTGTTGTATTAATCGATATTATCCTTGTTGTTTTTCAAATGTTGTATTAATGGTGGATATTATCCTTGTTGTTTTTCAAATGTTGTATTAATGGTTATTATTCTTGTTTTTTTTTCAATTATTGAATTAGTTGAAGATTTTACTTCTTTACTTTTATTTGAATATTGAATTATTATAATTAAATTATTATTATTATTATTGTTATTATTTATAATCATTATTTTTATTATTAATTATTATTATTATTATTATTATTATTATTATTATTATTATTATTATTATTATTATTATTATTATTATTATTATTATTATTATTATTATTATTATTATTATTATTATTATTATTATTATTATTATTATTATTATTATTATTATTATTGTGGTTGTTATTATTATTTTATTATTATTATAGTGGTGAGAGTGAGAATTGGAAAAAAAGTAATAAAAGACCGAACGGTTGGAAACGACGTAGGTAGAGGGAGGGGGAGGGGGAGGGGAGGGGGAAACCCCCCCTCTCCATTGGTGATGCTCTAACATGACCAGCCAACTCCTCACTAGATCACTAACCTACCCCATGTCTTTCCATTTGTGTTAGTGGTAGAGTAACTTCTTTTGTAACTTGTAACTTCCGGTGGCTTTTTCACCTACATAATGGAACTCTCCCTCCCCCAATATTACACCCTTATTAATCTCTCTACGGATTTTTGTCTTTGTATTCTCTCTCTATCTTTTATTATTGTTGTCATACTTTATTTTCCACAATCAGTAAACCGAAGAGCAATACCATTAGGGCGATTTACAACACGTTATCAGCACGAATTGCTCGCGATGATCGTCGAAGAACAATTGTTCCTGGGGCTAGAATACTTGGAGAAATTTTGAGCGTGGTTTGTTGGTGGTAATACCTACACGCAAGTGCACGTATCGTACAAGTAATATAGTGGACTAAAAGTCCGGATATCGATCCCACAAATAATATTTCATTATTTAATCATAGACGCTAAATCCTAGCAATTATTATCAAGTCCACCCTACACAGTCGAATTTGGAAAAAATTAACTAAATTAAAAAGCAAAAACGAGAAAGCAATTTAAAACGAAGATTTAACTAGAGAAAGCAAGCCTAGGATTTTATTCTTCCCCCTATGTGATTAATACTCCCCAATTCCTTCAATTATGCAAGTAATTAACTCGAATTATTAACCTGTGATGCTAAATTAATCATAACTTGCTTCCGCGTGTATTACGATTCTAATACTCTAGATTCAATTAATGTATTCCTACGCAATTAATTCTAGAACACAACATTAAGCACAAATCTCAATAATGGCTACATAAGAGTTTAACTATATTCCTATATTAATACCACAAAGGCTCTTCCACCACAGTTCTAATTATTAACCCGATCTTCCGATTCATGCGATTAACGATAACATAAAAGCACATAAAGTGGCCAGTTTCATGAACTTAATAAAACAAGTAGAAGAAATAATCTGGAATTAAAACTTGCATAAAATCATAAAATTGGGTTCATAAATCCCACATAGGGTTCAAAATAAAATCCTAGAAATGAGAAAATTAGCTACTCATGATTAAAGTAAAAACGCAAATAAAATAAATCATAAACGATAAATCTATGCTTGGAGTCTTCGAATTCTTCGTCTTTGTTATTGATTTATTGCTCTTGAAATTGCGTAAAAGATGGATCCCCAATTGTGTGCTTGGCATGGTCTTATATAGGGTGAAAAACTTGGAGAAGACAGTTTCCTTGTGCAATTAAAATCCCTTTACTTCTTCGTAATCTCGGACGGCCGTCCTAAATTTTGTACTAAAACTCGGACGGTCGTCTGGGCTATAAATCTTCAGATTTTTTACTTCTTCACGTTTGGCCCATATTTTCTTCAAAATTGCAGTTTTTACACCATACTTTTCCAATTCTTCAATTTGTACATAAAATACAATAAATCAACATTTTAAGCACCAATTATCGTTAAAACACACCAAAAGCTCCAATTAAGAGGTACGATTAAGTGTAAAAATATACACTTAACATGGTTCGTTTGTGAGACGGTGATCTACTTTCGTAAAACGTATAATCTTCTCTGAAGTATCTGAATTTTTATCAATTTTCAAGTAAGCCTTAAACCCTTGAAATTATTTATTATATGATCTATTTGTCAATATGAGTAATATGTAATATTCTTGTAGAATGATTTCACTATGAATATTTTGTGTACATGTTTGGACATTTAATGTTATTTGACCAGTGAATAAAATCATCCCTCTGAATATTATGCGTGCATGAAACAATCGGTTTGACTAATAATCATGAACTGTTTGAAATATTTTTGAAATAAATATGAATTATATGCGAGTCATATAGGCTATATGTGGCTTTATCACGTCATATGCAAATTTCATGACATAAAAGTAATATACAATAATTTGATTCGCATGTATACTTTGTCTATGTATGATAGGATGACACATTTGAGCAAACTTGATTTCACTCATTTGAATGTATCTGATGAGAACTACGTGAGTTGGACAATCGGTAAGATCCATCTCACTAGTAAGAAACTGATGATGGCTATTGTCAAAGAAAAAAGCTGCTTAACGAAGCCCAGAAGGCTGAAGCTATGACTCTGATTAGGAGCCACTTAGATGAGGTCCTCCATTTGGACTACTCATCGATTGAGGATCCCCAAATACTATAGGATGCCATGGCTAGTAGATTTGATCACCAAAAAACAATCTTCTTCCCTGAAGCAAGAAACAAATGGATTCACTTACGGTTTATGGACTTCAAAACCGTTAACGAGTATAACTCTGAATTATGTCACATCAAATCCACCCTGGAGTATTGTGGAGAGAAACTAACTGATGCTGAGATTCTGGAAAAGACATACTCTACATTAATCCATGCCTCACATATGATACTATCTCAACAGTACAGAGCCAAGAACTATACTCTGTTTTCAGAGTTGGTCACAGTTCTGCTCCTCGCCGAGAAGAACCATGATCTTCTTTTGAAGAACAACCAGGCTCGTCCAGTTGGTACTCGACCTTTGCCAGAAGCAAATTTGGTCGATCGAAATCCTCAACCTTTGCCAGAAGCAAATTTGTCAACAGAAATAACCGTGGAGAAGGCAGAGGTCTGGGGTTCAATCGTCGAGTGAGAGGACGGGGTAATAGGGGCGGACATTTTCCTTCTAATAGGCCACCTAATGGTCCCCCACAGTATGGGCAAAGGGGGAATATGCCAAGAGGAGGTAACAATGCTCAACCTAGAGTTGCGCAGCAGAATAGAGCCCCGAATCAGAATCAAAATCAGAACAGAGATACATGTCATAGATGTGGTGGAACTGGACATTGGTCACGCACCTATCGTGCGAGGAACGTTATGGTTGGTTGGGTAAATAACAATACACCACGGGAGACCAACTTGGTTGTGATAGACGTTCTCAATGAGGAGCCCATTGCTCCACTCCCAAATCTGGGCACATTTGACCCAGTGACCCAGTTTGGAATATGATTGGAGTGTTATTTTATGATCTTAGACATTATGTTCTTTTATGTTTTTAGTTTATCAGTTTTAAGATATGTTGTTTATTTGGTCATGCTTATTGTTGGCACCAGATTTCTGTTAGTGAAGATTGAAGAAATCCGCCATACGTGGAAATTAAAGATTGGCAAAGATTTGTTTTCCATGTTTATTTTGGAATTAATTAGAGTCCTATTCTTGTAATATTTTTATTATGACTTAGATTTATTTCCATGTATTATATTCTAGTTAGGTATCTTTTGTACTTATCTAGAATAGAAGTAGAAATCGACTAGGATTCTATTACCTAGTTAAATCGATTTCTTAGGGCCCAAGTTAGGTTTAGGGTGGTGATTTCGTGCCTATATAAGGCCCTCAACCTCATATGAGTCCCATGGAGCTTTAATAAGAAAAATCCCAGCATAAAGGCTTTGAAGGGTGCAGCCCGTGCTGCAGCCCTGTCGGCACATCAGGTGTGGCAACATAACAGGTTTCTTCTACCAGGCCATAAAGAAGATCGGCATTTCAGGAGAAGTGCTTAAAAGATCTCGGGAGAGGTCGATCCGCCGTTTGAAGGAAGTTCAACATTGGAGGAAGTCCAAGAGTGCGGAGGAGGAATTGCTTTGATTATCAACAAGTTCGAGTCGTGTGCAAGAACGGCATATAACATAAAGAGGGAGTGTTTAGTGTTTTTATTAAGTCCTATTAATGTACACTTAAATCTGAACTAGTTTTGCAAGTCCTCGTGGATGTAGGGTACATTTGTATCCGAACCACATTAAATTCTTGTGTTCTTTATTCTGCTTTTAGTAGGTTAGTTACTGTGACAACACAAAATTCCGTTACCACACGTAATGTCGTAACACGTAGTCTGTCTCAACAGATGAGTAGATATTCATAGGCATTTAAAATCTACACTTATGAACCAATTTCGTATTTGGATTATGTTTGTGCTTTATTTTTTGGACTATATTTTATGTGGTTATGTTTTAATTTAGTTTTTATGGTACTCGGTAGAGTTATCTTGTTTGGATTTTATTAAAGTACTTTCAATTGCGGAATATATGATTAGATTTATTTATCTTTCTAGACATGGCATGTGGGGATGAATGTCTGGCACATAGTGCGACAACGCACACTATCCTTAGGGATAAGTCATATTTTGTTAGTTTAAGTCATATTTTGTTAGTTTCATGTCTACTAAGACTTCTTTGACTACTATATCAGGCACATCTAGTATGATAGATGGTTATGGTGATGCCCATATTATGTGTTACCTCATGGCACAATTCTGACCATTAGAGAAGCTCTTTATTCTCCACGTTCTAGTAGAACGATGATGAATTTTAAAGATATTCGAGCCAATGGTTATCATGTTGAAACAACTGATGAAAAGGGACTTTCGATAGGGTTATATAGGACCAAAATTCGAGTCCAGAAGCACACCTTGTCGATCGCTCGAAGTCTAGTGATCCGAGCAAATATTTTCTACGGCATGACCGACTGGGACATCCGGGTCAAAGTGTGATGCGCCGAATTATTAACACATCTATTGGGCATCCACTAATGAATAAGGATCTTGTACACAATGATAAGATATGTGTATCATGTTCTATTGGAAAACTTGATCCTATGCCAGATTATGCACAAACTCATAAAGATTCTCTTGGATTCTTGGAACGAATCCAAGCAGATATGTGGCCCCATCTCACCACCATGTGGACCTTTTCAATATTTTTTGGTTATGGTTGATGCTTCGACTAAGTGGTCACATGTTGGTTTGTTGTCTACGAGGAATGTTTCTTATGCTAAACTCCTCTCTCAAATAATAAGATTGAGAGCACACTATCCACATTATCCCATTAAGTCTATTCGACTGGATAATGCTGCAGAGTTTACGTCGCGGTCTTTCGACGAATATTGCATGTCCTTAGGTATTGACATAGAATATCCTGTAGCACATGTTCATACCCAAAATGGCCTTGCAGAGGCATTTATTAAGACTTTACAGAGGATTGCACGAACTTTGGTAATGCGCACCAAACTTCCAATCTCTGCTTGGGGCTATGCAGTATTGCACGCAGCTATGTTATTGCGATTGAGGCCCACTACAACCCAACCATATTCTGCGTTACAGTTGGTATCCATAAATACACCAAACGCTTCTCATTTACGCACATTTGGGTGTGCAGTTTATGTGCCGATTGCTCCACCACAACGGACCAAGATGGGACCTCAACGTAGATTGGGCATTTATGTTGGTTATATATCACCATCTATAATACGATATTTAGAACCCTTGACAGACGATCTCTTTACCGCTCGATTCGCGGACTGTCAGTTTGATGAGACCGTCTTCCTGCCGTTAGGGGGAGAAAAAAATGTTCCTGAAGAACGGTGTGAAGTCGTGTGGAATAACCCCACTGTGTCTCATCGCGATCCCCCTACTTCATGCAGAGAGTTTGAAGTACGTACACTCATAGATCTACAAAAAGTAGCCAATAATATGCTACACTCATTTTCTGACTTAGAAAAAGTGACGATATCTCATATACCAGCTATAAACGTGCCTGCAAGGATAGATGTCCCAGAAGGACAAAACGTGGGAAGGCCATCAGTCCTTGCTAACCAATCATATATCCCTGCCCAGAAGAGGGGGAGACCAATTGGATCAAAGGATTCTCATCCCCGGAAGCGGATGAATGCCCAACAGTTGAATGCGGTTAGCATTAGTAACAATGGGATCCCACCCGATCCATCTCATGAAATAGTTCCGGACTATGGAACCGTCTTGGAGACAAAATCAGGGACGCCTCGACATTAGTATCCATTCTGGAGAATAGAGAAATCTCGGTTAGTTATTCACGCATGAATGAGTTGTGGCATCGGGATGAAATAATCATCAATGATTTGTTTGCTTACACAGTAGCTACTGAAATTGTATCGAGTGATGATATTGAGCCTCGATCAATTGATGAATGTAAACAGAGGGATGATTGGCCGAATTGGGAGAAAACAATCCAGGCTGAGTTTGACTCATTGGTAAAAAGGGGAGTGTTTGGGCCGGTAGCTCCTACACCTCCTGGAGTTATACCCGTGGGATATAAATGGGTATTCATAAGGAAAATAAATGAGAAAAACGAGATTGTGAGATATAAGGCTCATCTCGTAGCACAAGGCTTTTCTCAGCGACCTAGGATTGACTTTGAGGAGACATATTCTCTTGTTATGGATGTTATTACATTCAGATATGTAGTCAGTTTGCTTGTATCCGAGGAACTGACTATGCAGCTCATGGATGTGGTCACAGCTTATCTATATGGGGATCTAGATACGAGTATATATATGAAAGTTCTTGAAGGACTTTGACTACCCGAAGCAATTAGTTCCAGACCACGGAACACGATCTCAGTTAGGTTGACACATTCACTTTGTTGGGAATCAGGCACGTGTACGCAGCAGAAAACAAAAATTTTACGTGAAATAAACAATTTAGTTCACATAATCACATGCTCGATTCGAATTAAAAAATTAATTGCGTACATTTGCGTTTCCAATGATAATTAAAAAGAACAATCATCCGTATTAATATTCGACAATAAATCACATAGCATGCTCCCAGTAAATTATAAATTTCATATAAACACGAAACATATATTAATTCACGAAAAACATACTGCGAATACAAACACATATAATTTGATCTAATTAAATTAACACCTAACGAATATCGTATCTGAAAATTTACCTCTTGAAGCGTGAGGCATGCGCTCGGATCGAAGCAAACTGCCACGGAAGCCAATCTGTGCATATGGGAGCGGCGGCAGTGAAGCGATGGCGATGGACGCGCTGGCAGCAGCGGCGCGTGTGGATCACGCGCTATCTTCGGGCGGCGCGTGCGACGTCTGCTCGGCATATGCTTCTCGACGATTGACTCCTTGATCTTTCTCCTCTCGGATTTCACCTCGTATACCGAAATCAACTAACTACGTGGCACTAGACACGTAAAAGTCAGAAAAATGGAAGAATAAAAATAAGAGAAAAATACTACCGATAGTATTTTAGGCGCGTGGGCCAACACCGGCGACGGCGGCGACGATTGGCGGCGATGGCGGCGGCGGCGGAAGAGAGAGAGATCGGCCGTGTGAGATTTGAGCGGCTAGGGTTTTGTGTATGGTGCAAGACCTATAAATCATATATTTATAGTGTCTTGTATAAAAGCCCTAACGGGCTTAAGTTGGACCGAGCCCAACAGCTTACGTTCGTTAGTTCTTTACTCGCTCATTTCTAACAACTCAATGATTGGAAAATTGTAACAATTACATTTTCGGAATCATTGTAACGTCCTCCTCATTACGAGTGTCAGTTCTCGATTTCCAATTTCTAAAAGTGGAAACCCTAATTCAGTTGACTTTCTAAATTTGGAAACTTCCCGATTTAGAAAGTTCACTGAGATGTTCGCCTATTCTTTTCCTTTTCTTATTCTCATTCATAGTTCCAAATTAAGAATGTTGGACTCAATCATATTGACTTCCAATCATGCAAAGATTAAACATTTTTATCTTTGACCGTTTATTCAAAGATCTCGAGTGCGCGAGCAGTGTGACCCTCGATGGTTCAGGTATAAGCTAGTCGTGTTCACAATCCTTTGTGGTCTAAACTCGTCCCTTAGAGTTATGATTAAGATGAAGCTCATTTCACCTTAATCACCCAACGAATCATGATTGACATCTAGCAACTACGCGTCATGATTCCCTATATACAAATGAAGTGCCTGTAAGAAACTTTTGATATAGTTAACATTCAGTACGATCCATTCAATTCATATGTCCCGATTGAACTAGAGGAATTGGTTCATCGAGACCTCCTTAGTAGTTCAATAATTGTGCGATCGTTCTAAGTGTTGTAGTTGGTACGTGCATGACTTAGAGAATCGAATTCTTTAATCATCACATAGTCAGCTCTGGCCAGAGCCTTAGAGATTACAAACT